ATTCTGAAATCGCGCGGAAAAAAATTAGTGTTTTTGCTCTCTAAAGTTCTCTTAAAGCTGGTTTTGCATCTCCAACAACGAATTATCGTGTTCACAACTGTTCTTTTTGTTCAAGAAGGTAAGCTAAATCCATCCTCACTATTTTTGGCAAGCCCCCTCTTCACAATGTGTTTTCATGCTAATTTTGATTTTCACCATACTTTAAATCCGGAGGTAGAGTTTACAACCTCCTGTATTACATTTGAAACTTCATTCACTGATTTTGAATAAGAAAAATTAATAAATATAGAATTCAGATTAAATATTTCTAAAAATATCTTGTACACAGTGTGCACAATGTCTTTATACATACTATGTACAAACTACTGTTTGCAATTTTAAACCGACATCTAAATATTTACGGAATATATAATAGAATTGAACGCAGTGTGTACATATGTTTTAGTTTCTTTAAAGCTTTAGTAACAATGCAGATTTAATTTGAAAATTGAAGACTACTGTAGATTTTACATATACATAGTGTGTACAATCCCTTTTACACACTGTGTATAAGTTATATTTATTTTCCTTGAACCTATAAAAGCTCTAGTTTTAACATTGCAAATAGGCCTTGTAGGAGTCTCCTACAGCGGCTGGCTATTGTATATATGACGAGTCTCCTACAGCGGCTCGTAGGAGCTCATACGTATGATAGACGTATTGTCCTTACTTATAAACAACATGTTATATTTGTCGCCGATCCCACCATGGATGCATGTTAGTTGGCAAATTGATTTGTTCCTTGTGTGTAATTGACTTTTGGTAATCTTGAGGGGATCAATATGTGTGTTTGCAATTAAGTTGATTGACACGTTCATCAAAATCTTTCAACACTTAAAAGATATGACTTTCGGCGCTTGTGAGGTGCCAAACTTGTTTGCTTGCATGTTGATTAATGCCAATTGTATGAATGCCATTGCACTCGTCGCACGTTAGTTATTTAATCTTTGTTCGCCGGCAAGCAACATTCAGAGCTGAGAGTATTAATTGTGTGTAAACTTCAAATGCTTCGAACTTCCTTGGATACACCAACTTACCATGCTCATTATGCATTGACCTCCATTATTCACAGATGTTCAATGTGTTATTTGTAGATAGGCGCTGAGTTTAGAGAAGTTGCTAAAATTATTGTGTTTCTTCACGCTTTGCTTACAAGCATGTCACTATGTGTCACCAACCACACTCACGAATAGCTCATTGTGCACATTGGAAGGATCGGCCTAGACTTCGATTGTAAAAGTTGCTCAGGAACAATGATGGGAGAGGTCCAGCTTTTGAGTTTGGCAACGACGAAATCCGTTATGCAATTGAAACTCGTTTGGTCCATGTTGCGCATCGATTTCCTCGATTTGCCCGCCGTTGCCTCAGGATTCATACCAATCTCTTCGCTCGATTTTAATTGAGCAAATTTATGATCATTTTTGGGTGTTGACGGCGATCTGAATGCGATGACGAAGCCTGTTTTGCAATTTGATGTAGTTTGTGCAATGCCATGCATCAATTTTGGGTGTTAATCATTCGTTTTGATCGATCTCGTCCGATTTGATTGCAAGGGGCTCCCTTTTAGATGAATTCGACTTCCTGATTGCAATGGCAGAGTCCATTTGAAAATCTGAGATTGTTTGATCCTTCAAGTAGAGCGCCGCTCCGACACACCCGTCATTTAATTCGCCAATCTTACCTTATTTCGCTTGTATTTTGATGTAGGGCCCAACAACTAAAAAGTATGTTGAGCTCTAAGTGGAATGTGAACTAGTGACATTCATTGTGTAGCTTGATGCAGTTTTAACACATTTTGAAATACACATTTGCAACATTCATCGTATGATTTGAACTAATATTAGAAATGAGTTTGAAAATTTAAACTGATTTAATTTTGTATAAAATACTTTTGAAATACCATTGATTTTAATGAATACTTTTATAAATTTATGAGATTAGTTCTTATTAAATATTTTTTGGTCCAAACTATATTTAGGAGGTTATTTATTCAATAAATAAAGGGGAATTTACATACATATCATTTTATTTCATACTATTTATATATCTAACACATAAAACTTTAATATTATATACCTATCAATCATAGAATAAATAAGGATGTATGTGTATGGAATGAAATATTAAGGTTTATAGGGTGATATAGGTGGTAAAAATGAAATATAGAAGTGATATATTTGATATTAAAATTTTATATAAATTAAAATAATATGGATGTAAATTTCAACAAATTATTGCTTCCTGTCACCGGACACACATAATAGGTTCGGACATCGCTTTTGACTGCGCTTTAATTGCACTTTGACCGTGCTTTACCTGCGCTTTTGACTACGCTTTTGACCGCGCTTTGACTCCGCTTTATCTACGCTTTTGACGCGCTTAATTTAAAATAATATTTTATTAATATCCGAACATATCTCGGCGCGCCGGGCAATAATTTGCCGTGAATTTCACATATTTGCCGAGTGCAATAGGAACAGTATTAGTTATTAAATCAAATATTATTTTGTTAGTTTATGATTTTTTTATTACGGAATATTTCTAATATCCGACCATTAACGCACAGTCATACCACTCCAAACCTCTCTCTCTCTCTCTCTCTTCAGTCCTCAGTTCACCACCGGTTGTGGACAACAATTCCCGCATCGTACTTCCAGCGTTCATCGACACCCTCGCTCTCTTCCTTATGCTTGTGATTGCTTGACATTTTCCGTTCTTCTCTTTGCTCTGTCTAGATCTCAGCTGAGCCCCACTTAGCTGCTTTTGTGTTCTTTTTTCTAAAGTCAGAGGGAACTGAGAATCTACCAAAGAAGAGAGCTAGGATTGCTTCATGGCTCTCCACGCCGCTGCACCTTGCATTAGAGGCCCTGCTTCAAATCCTCAGCTTCAGTCCAGAAAATTTTCCTCCTTTCCCTTGGCTTGTGGTAGGAGGCGATGCATCCGAGCGGCCATCTCCCTTTCTGCTATCTCCTCATGTTCTTCTTTCCTGGATAGAAGATCCCGAGGTTTGGAGCTTCCTTCTTTCTTAGTTTACATTTTTTCTTGAGAAATAGGCAGATTGTATAGAATTTCATGACTTGCATTTAGGGCTGTTTGGATATAACTCTAGTAAATCAAGTAAATCCGGATTTAATAAATCCTGAGTGTGTTAAATCCTGAAAATTGTCTGACTACATATCTGTTAAATCCTATGAAAATTGTTTGACAATGTAATGCAATATTTGAGATGGTTATTTGGAGTATGATTTGTATTTAAGAAATTACAATGAAATAAAAATAATTATTAAAAATAAATTTTGTTCGGAAATCAAAATAAAGCCGCATAGCAGCGATGACAACATATTATAAGAATGCAATTAAATATAATTTTTTTTTAATCTCTTGACAGTTCAACCATAGCTTGCTCTCAAGTTGATTTTCGTTGTTGCTTCAGAAATTACGTGTGGATTAATGCGTAATTAAATAATCTATCAAAATGAAATTTATTTTCACTTAATAATATAAAATCTTACATGTGCTTCCCAGAAATTGTTGTCGATTGAATGCTGCTTTGCATCACCTTGAATTCTCTTGCTAATAGTTACGTGCATGTTAGGATTTTCATCATAGACTTGTAATTTACCGAATTTGCTATCATGCTACATTTCAGTTTGAGATATGTTGAAATGTATGTCATATTTATGATAGCGTCTAATAAAATTATACGACATTGTATAAACATAAACAATATTAATCTGTATGTCAAAGAAAATTCTTGCTTATGAATTAATTCTTAAAATTTACCTTTTCAAATGCTAAATGTTCTCTTCATTATATTGCTTGACTGCACATGCTGATGATTGTACAACTTAGTATTTACGAGATGTTTCTCTATGGTACTCAATTAAATGATAGCGAAATTTTGTGAATAGTGCTATTAGTTTGTTGATGTTAGCATACATAGAAACTACCAAATAATATTTATCAAGTAGCATTCTAAAGTTTTATTTCTCAACTGCCCATTACAACCCTCTTATATCAATTACCCTTTGTAACCATAAGCCACGTAGACAAACTGGTGTCAAATGAGTTTGCTTTCATAATATTATGTGAAGTGAAGCATTTTTTATTTCAGTTTCGATTTTGCATTCTTCTGCTGATGAGTATGGGTATGTGAGTATTGTCTATGACTCTGATGATATTTTAAAAAGTAATAGTAAAATTATGGATTTACTTTTATAAATGGATGACTGTGATTCTGTAGTAAGTAAATTAATCAATTCTTCTACTAAAGAAACAATTTATCATAACAGTAAATTAAAGGAACGACTCATTATTTTGAATGAATATTGGAAAAACACACACAATTGCTTATAAGTATGTATATATGTAACTCCTTTGAGAAAAATAGCTAGTTGTTCATGTGCTAACATATTTCTGGTATACCTTATAATGGAACAATTGCTTATAGCACTAAATTAAAATAACAATTCAGTATTTTGCGTGAATGTGAGAAAAATCATTTTGCGTGAATGTAAGAAAAATCATACAATTACTTCTAAGTATGTGGACGTGCAACACCTTTAAGAAAAAATAGTCTGCTGTTCATTGGCTAATATGTACTTGGTGTTCTTATTAAACCCCGATTAACTAATAACATATTCAGCTATTTGAATGCCTATGCAGGTGGCTTAAAAAAATTATATGACTGCAGTGGATTGCCTGAAGTATATTGGCTATGTATTGTTATTTAGTGCGTAGCCTGATAAATATGAACCATTATATTCTTGGCTCCTCATCTAATAAACTATTTTTCTTGATAATTGATGAAATCATATTTCTTATTATATTATTAAGTTCAACGTGTACATCGACTATGTTACAAATTTTATCAGAAATGATTCATTGAAGATAATTAGACATATTACCATAGAATAGAGCTTAAATAAGAATGAGAATAACGTGGGTAAAGATGTTATATACAAATCGAAGTCATAATAATCATGATATTAAAGAATAAAATTGTGGGTGGCGATTAAGCACATACTCAATCCAAGTGCATAAGAGTGGTTCATCTCATGTCATTAATGTGATCTTATTACAATTATTTTTTAGTAGAGCCTCGTATACAACAATTATTGCTTTTGTTGATATATGTCTAAGCTGCTTAGTTTAGCCAAATATTCATGTATAGTGAATGTGCACATTTCATCAATTTTTTTGATAATTGTTTTTATATTCTCATTATAATGAATTAACAAATTGTTTAGTGTTTCTTTATATACATTTTCTTACTGAGTCTGGTATTCCTATCTTCGTCTTCAATCTTTTGCTTCGACTCATAGGTGCTGCACTTGGTTGTCTTCCAATCTCCTCATCCACAACTACATAAGCCTAAATTTCATATGATACATTTTTTCCACATAACTCACCTTATTCACGTACAAAAAATTATCACCAATTGGTTCAACCTCTTTCTATTTTAGATCTTGCCTATGACTAACGTTTTGAGTGGACTATGCTACTTTTTCTAATGTGATGTTGTCCCCACAATTTTTTTCGAAGACATCATAAATGATGAAATGTATTCTTACGGAATCTTGCCAACTCTGGGTTATCCTAAAATAAATAGAGAAAAATTAGAATTAAGGATTAACAGAAGCCAAGTAATCAACAAATTATTAAAATATTTTTGTACAAATTATGAAAATATTTTTGTTTAAATTCTATCAATATTATCTCATCCTAACCTTCATCAATTGTTATGGGTAAATACAGATTTTCGTCTCATATCCAAACATTATGATTTAATAGTTGATATATTATACAAATATTAGATTTCATATTCTTATGCCTTGTTATGATTACGACTTTAGTATAATTCGTTTTCGACTTCAGACAATGTTTCCTTTTTTAGTAAGTTGTTTTTGATGTTCTCACATAGGAATTGCTTCTTAAGTAGCTCGTCTAAAACAAAATTATGATGCTAATGATATTTTGGTGTTTTATTTGTGCACTTTGGTTGGCCAGTGTTGATTGAATTTTGGGGCGGAACCCCCTTGGGTCAGGGGGGAATTGGCCCCCCCCCCCGGAACCCCCTTGGGTCAGGGGGGAATTGCCCCCCCCCCCCAAAAAAAAATATATATATATATAAAAAAATCTTTATTATATAGTTCTTTAGGTATTTTAGTCTTTATTATAAGGGTTTTCCCCCGCCAGGGGGCGCTGCCCCCTTGCACCCTCGACAATTACTTATAAGTTTACCCCCCATGAAAATTAAGGCTGGTTTCGTCCCTGACTGAATTGTTTTTGTCAAGACACAAGTTAACACTTGAGTTGTCTTGTTTAGAGACTTTTCCTTTAATATTCTCTTCATTATTGCTACAAGATTAATGAAGTACTATTTATATCCAAATAAATTAAGACAAAAATAACAAATAAATTTAAACAATATAATGGTTTATTAAATATTATATATGTAATGAAAATATTTCATTGCTATACTTATTTTTTATATGTTGATGTTCAATACCGTTATAAGATATATAGTTGATCTTCGAGGATTTCTTATCACTCAATTTGTCTAAGCTGTCAAATGCATTAGAGATAGAAATAAGTGACACGATTCTATCAGTTATTGAGGAAAATAGTTTGTCTGGTGAGTAGCTGAGAGTATGAAGACCCATGTTCAACAAGCTATGCATTGGGTAGCAATATATAGCTGATATACTTTCAGGTCATCCATTGTGGTCATATAATTATTTTAGGCTACTCGTAGAATCATTCCAACAGGTGAAGATGTTATTGGTTAGTCGCAATTTGATAAGGCACCCAAGATAAATAACTAGTTATTTTTCTATAAGGGGTTGCACATGCTCATACTTACATGCAAATGTGTGAGTTTTTCTAGTATTTACTTGAAATATTGAACTGCAACTTTATGCTGGTGTTTTGAACGATTGTTTGTAGGGCAATAAAATTTATTAAATTACAATGCAAAAATTGATTGTCATCCATTTGTATGATCAAATAATAATTTTATATTTATTTTAAAAATAACATTGGAGTCTTAGATGGTACCCACATTCTACTAGTAATTAATAGAGGAATGCAAAATTGACACTGGAATATAAAAGACTTCGCTTTATAAAATGTTATGATAGTAATTTTGTTTGATTGCCAGTTTGTCTACATATCTTCTTGTTGAGAGGGGTCTGCAGTTAATATATGAGTGTTGTGATGAGCAGTGGAGAAATGAGACTTCAAAGTGCCACTTAGTAAATATTATTTGGTAGATTTGGATTACGTTAATACCGACAAACTAATGACACCGTTCACGAGATTTTGGTATTATTTAAATGAGTACGTGGAAAAAAAAAATCTCATAAGTACTCAGTGGAGTAGGAGTTGTATAAGCATCGATATATGCAATTACGCAACATTGTGGAGAAAATCTTTGGCAATAGGAAAGAGAGATTTCAAGTATTAACTCATATGTGATAATTTCTTCTGACGATACAAGTCCTATATTATTCCTGCTTTTGTAGTGTTGCTTAATTTTGTTGGATGCTACTACGAACATGACATATCTAATTTTTCTATAAAATTACACTAATTTTTCTTTAATAATATAAAATCTTACACGAGTTTCTCACAAATTTATGATGATTGAATGTCTCACTACGTCAACTTGAATTCTCTCCTCCATAGTAGCATGATTGTTAGGATCTGACTTTTAATAGGACACAATGGAGAAAAAGGATTCATGTAGCCGACCCCACGTAGTGGGATAAAGGCTTGATGTTGTTGTTGTTGTTGTTGTAAAGAAAAATTAGTATAATTTTATAGATCAGGTAATAACACATTAATCTACTTGCAATCATTAAATCAATTAAGTACGCTGATCAACTGGAGTGCATATTGTGTTTGAGTTGACCAGAGATAAATTTTATATTTAATTGCATTGGATATCTTATTGCCTATTTTGTCCACATTGTTGTGCAATTTTATTTCTGTTGATCACTGACCCACTAACTCCTCATAACTCCTTCATGATGGGTGGCAGGAATCGAACCGACGCCTCTCTCTCGCGAACTATTCGCTCACTCTCTTGTTCTCTATTTCCTACACGTAGGAACACCCCCCCAGCTCGCTCGCTTGCTGTCTCATTCTATAATCACCATATGCAGGAAATGTCCCAGGAAAGGACCAAAATCGCTCTCCTTCTCTTTTTTCACTCAACCTCCTACATGTAGACGCGAGATGATCCCTCCTCGCTCGTCTACCTCTCTATCGCTCGACCCCAGCCGAAGCCGCATGAAAGGATTCGGTGCGCCCCTCTCTCAATATTCTTGTGCCGCACGCAGGAGCCGCACCTGACCCCTCTCTCCCTCCCGATTCACTCCCGCGATTTGTCCTCATGCTCGACCCAAAGCCCATCGTCCCTCACAGATGATCTCTCTGCGCCGAACTAAATCACATGCGGAGGCTGCACTCCCTATCTCTTTCCTCCCTCAGCTGTATGCATGAATAGAGGCCCAATCCCCTTTCTTGTTCACTCACCCGCACACAGGAGTAGAGGTCTAACTCCCTATTCATCCCGCTATGTGATTCGTCCTCACACGTAAGAACCTAGATACGATCGCAACTCCAATCCGCACATTGCCTCAGCCGTGTCCAGCCTCCCACACCAACATCCGACTCAGCATAGAAGAACCCGTGTTTGTCGTATTTTTGATCCGGCCGGGAGAAGAATAAGAACAAAAGAAGACCTCACATCCATTGTATCTTTGATTCGGTTGGGAATAACATGAATTATACAAAGTCCCAACATCCATTATATCTTCAATTTGACCGGGATGAGCAAAGGCGAGTGCCTACTTGATACCCCTTGCATGGGGTTCGAGATGTTTGAAGATTGCCAAAATTTTAAATAACAAAAGATCCCCACATAATTAATTTCAAACAAAATTTTGTCCTTTTAAATGATTAAAAAAATCATGTCATTTCAATTGATTTAAAAAATAAAAAGATAAACAAAATAAATTAAAATAAAAAAAGTGGGGTAAAAAGATTATTCTTGGTATTGAACAAAAATTTTTATGTGGTATGAATAGATACAAATTTTAAAATGGTGAACTTGAATGAGGGAGAAAGATAACCCAGGAAAAATATTTTGAAAATAAAGAACCCAAATATAGTTGTTTCACAACTCTAAAGATTTAAATGAGTTTACCAGTTTTTTTTTTCTAAGCAATAATTGGCAGATCTGAAATGAATTCAACTGAACGAACCCTTAATGTCATGGGCAATTTGGTTTAGAAACTGGCATTCCGTAGCTAGTAGGTTTTGCAGAAGGAAATTATTTACGAAGAAGACAAAATAATTCGAAAAAGAGTTAAGAAGGAATTCAACTTCTTTTCTTTGTTAGTACTAGAAGTCGTTTGTTGAGTTGGAAAATGGAGTTAATATCCAGCAGGCCTTTTGTCTATACTCCTGTAGTCTTAATTGTGATTCATAAGCTTGCTTTTATTATTCCGTTCTTTTCATTATTAAACATATCGTATAGCTACTAACCACCTGTCGATCATACTATTTATTTGACTACAGATTGTATAAAAGCACTTTCAGCTAGTAATGACCTTCCTATCGATAATTCATCTCTCGTTGTTTGCTTTGGAGAAATGCTTATTGATTTTGTGCCAACTACAAACGGACTATCATTGTCTGAAGCTCCTGCATTCAAGAAGGCACCTGGAGGTGCACCTGCTAATGTTGCTGTGGGCATAGCTCGCCTTGGTGGTCAGTCAGCTTTTATTGGGAAGGTAGATTGAGAGTACTCACTGTTTAACACTTGCTGCTTAAGGAATGATGGATTCTATTTTATTATAAAAATAGATTTTTTTTCCTTGTGTGGCTTTCTACATGAGGTAAGGAAGCAACTCATTTCCTGAATGATTCCTCTTGCTTATTTTATGCGTTGCTATGTTCAGACACAGCCTTGTTCTTTGCAATATTTACCTAATTAAGGCTTCGTTGGATACGGCTTTTTTATTGCTTCTTAAAACAACTTTTGAGTATAAAAATTTTAATTTTTGCTTTTAAGAAGCATCATGAAAGCCGTCCCAAACGAAGCCTAAATCTCCTGCTACTTCCAAGATTGGATTAATTTTATACCAAGTGTGAAACTTCATGTCGGTTTCATTTCTGAGGAGCCTGTAACAGTGAAATTTACTTCCATACCTATCAAAAAAACCTCCACTTGCTTGGGAAATATGCAAAAAATGATTTTTTTTCTTTCTTGGGTCGTTGTACTTCAATTTAAATTGCTTCATCAATACAATGGGTTTCTACAACTGATTGCCAAGGAGACAAAAGGGTACGCACATTTTTATGATAGAATGCATCTCTTGATGACACATTTGTTGGAGTGTGGACCAATAAGATTTGAGTTGAGACCAAAGCACTAATTGATGGACATCCATCAACTCAAAATTTATATTGAGTAAAGGCCACTGCTACTATATTACCAAACTCTAGTTTCACTTTTTTCACTGCATAACAATTCCCTGTGTGAGTGTCCTCCATATTGATCATCACTCTTTTTAGAATGAAAGTTTTTGAACACTATGGCTTCATTTGGGACGGATTTCTTTCTGCTTCCTAAACTCGCTTTTTAGAACAAAAATTTTAATTTTTGTACAAGAAAGTTGCTTTAAGAAGCAGAAAGAAAATTGTCCCAAACAAAGCCTATGTCTGCAATCATGTGGTTGGATTTTATACCACTTTGTAGGAGGTTAGAATTTGGGAGCTCAAGTTGAACCCATGTATGAGTAACAACCCAAAAGCTTGAGGTAATATGTTAGGGCCACTAATACTATATTAGGTTCTCAACTCTCGCTTTACTTCTATCGTGGGCTTATTTTTTGATTTCACAGTTTCATTCTGGATTTTTACAAAATTGGCTTATAATGACTTGTCAATTTTGAAGGCTCATGTGGCGTAAAAAGGTCTGTAATGATCCATTTTTTTTGCTTTTCCCTTTTACCATTGCCATAACATAATATTTTAACTCATTACTACTTCGCTCTTTTGAATTCCTTGCTTGATGAATATATGGCATATTAAACTTGTTAAACCTTCAAAATACATTGTTTATGAAATTTGCTCAAACCGAACTATGATTTGTAGCCCTTTAAAACCTCAAAATTTAAGAAATATTTTATATTGGCATTATCATTTCTTTTAGCGGTGCCATTTCTTGAGCCTATGTTCTCATAATATTTACATGGGATCATAAAGCTCTTTACGGCCTGAATTCAGGTCTTTTCCTTCAAGTGAAGAGCATTTAAATAGCCTACTGGAGCTTGTAAACTGGATCCTGAGAAAATGTACCCTATAAGATAAAACCAATGAGTCTAAGTGGTAATTCTTCCTTTCTATTGTTGTTTTGTATCATGTCGTATTTATCTGCATCTCTGAGTTGTTCATTAACATCCACAGGTTGGTGAAGATGAGTTTGGATATATGCTAGCTGATATTTTGAAGAAAAACAACGTGAACAGTCAGGGAATGCGCTTTGATTCTGGTGCTAGAACGGCCTTGGCTTTTGTCACATTGAGAAATGATGGAGAGCGAGAATTCATGTTTTATCGCAATCCAAGCGCTGATATGCTTCTGGAAGAAGGAGAGCTGGACTTTGATATTATTAGGAAGGTGTGCTGGAAAATAATGCAATTATAATCACGTTCATACTTCCAAAAGTAGTGCCATCTTCAATATTCATGATTTGATAGTTTGTACATTCATAATATTTCTATCATATTTAGGCAAAAATCTTCCACTATGGATCTATAAGTCTTATCACAGAACCATGCAAATCTGCTCATGTTGCAGCAGCTAAAGCTGCTAAGGACGCTGGAGTGCTTCTTTCCTATGACCCTAACCTGAGACTTCCATTATGGCCTTCTGCAGAGAGTGCTAGAGAGGGAATTCTTAGCATATGGGATGCCGCTGATATCATAAAGGTACACTTTACTGATCTGCAGTCGGAATGAAATTTCTTGGCATATTTTTTCTTCTAATTGTGGAGCAGTCTAAATTATAAAAACACGTTACTGACTCTGTTTAAATTCATGAGACAGATAAACGAGGAGGAAATATCTTTCTTGACTAGAGGAGAAAATCCATATGATGATGCAGTCGTTCATAAACTTTTCCATCCAAATCTCAAACTGCTTCTTGTCACTGAAGGTCCAAATGGTTGCAGATATTATTCCAAGGTGTATTTTATTCCTTTGAGATATGTGAAGATGCTTATTTCGATGATATATAATGTGTGGACACTGATAATCATGACATAGACGTATGGACATGACAGTTGCAAAAAGTAGCCCACGACATGTCAGGGGCATGACATGTTTTAATAAATTATTAATATGAAATATGTAATCAAAACATGAAATGCCTGTATATATGAGCAATTATTTGGTGCGTACATCGGACGTAGAGATGCATCCGGATACTGAGTATCTTTTGCTTAAGCTCTGCATACACTCTGCTTATTTACTGTGTATATAATGCGTATTTGTAAATAAGCAGTAAAAATTTAGTTATGAAGATTTGTTGCATATTTGTTGTGTTTACAAATACGCAGTGTAAGCAGAACATATGCAGAGTATAAGCAGAGCGTACGCAGTGCATCCAGTAATCCGGATGCATCTCTAAGTCCGATGTCCGCACCTAATAATCTCTCCTATATATACGCAGTGCACCCACCACCTTGGTCATAGCCACCACCATCATAGCCACCGTCGAGAACCACTTGAAAGCCGCACACCACCACCATCACCTATTCCTCTAAAAATTTTGGAGTATTATTTTCATCCTTACATTGATGAAAAATATTTATGAAAGAAAAATATGATTGAAATAAATGAAGATGAAAAAGATTGAGAAATATTGAACTCCACATGATGAGGGAAGGGAGAGCTCAATTTGTTATAATAAAGACTCAAATAAAGATCCCCTCATTGATTACAGTCATGGTTTAAAATTGTGCAAAAGAGGCACGCCTCAGTGCAATTTTAAACTTTTAAGCCTCAAATCCTACGCAATAAGAGCTTGCATTGAGGTGTACGCCTCAAATTCACTGAGGCGCACCTCGCCTCATGTTTTAGAGGCCTCCGCCTCTTAAAATAAAAAAAAAAACCCTCGGTACCACTCTGTACAACAATGTTGGGTACCACTCGGTACACGCACGGTACCGCTCAGTACATGCTCGGTACCGCTAGTTAAATACTCGGTACCACTATGTACATGCTCGGTATCTTTCTTTACAAACGACTTACGAAGTATAAAAATAAGCAGAACTTCAAAATTACCCCCGCAAGGGCGCTGCCCCTTGGAACCCCGATTGTCGAGCATATTGTTGTATTCATCATCTTTAGTAATAGTTGTTAGTGTTAGTTTGCTTCTTCATGAGTGCATGCTTTCTATAAGTTTTCTTCATGAGTGCATGCTTTGATTGGGAGACATTGGACTCTATAGGAGAGGAGGAAGGGGAGAGAGCAGTTCATCATAATGATGATTCAAATGAAGACCCCCTTAGTGATGACAGTGCTGATGACTTATGAGTTTTTATGTGATATGTCATTGCTATTTATTTCTGGAATTATAAGTTAATGAAAAGAATATTGTGATTTGGGAAAGATAGAATTTGAGTTGAACTATATTTCATATTGTCTTATTATTGAGATATTTTGATTTCACTTCATATCTTGTGTCTTTTTATGTTTTATATTTTTTACTCAGTATATAAAAAATTTATCATTTTATGTTTACGCAATCTTTAGATTTTGAGGCTTACGCCTCGCCTCACGAACAAAAAAATGTCTCAATACTCGATTACATAATTTTAAACATTGCTCGCTGAGCTCATCAACCAAGAGGTTCAGAAGTTGATAGAGGTTGACTTCATTAGAGAGGTTTAGTACTAAGACTGGATCTCTAATGTGCTTATGGTATATAAGGCAAGAAAGTAGAGGATGTGTGTGGACTTCACTAGCTTGAATTTGGCATGCCCCAAGGATGACCCAAGGATGACTACCCAGTGCTCAGGATTGATGCCTCAGTCAATTATCAGTAGGGTATTTAGTGATGAGCTTCTTGGATGCATTCTCAGGCTATCACCAAATAAGAATGCATTTTGGCGATTATGAGAAAACCTCTATCATCACCACAGAAGGCCTGTATTGTTATAAGGTCATACCTTTGGACTAAAGAATATAGGGGCAACCTATCAAATAATGATCGGTCAAGGCTTTAAAGATCAGAAAGGGAGAAATATGTAAGTGTGTGTTGATAAAATGTTTATTAAATTTAATTGTCATAAGTGACGCATGCATACTGGGATTGTGACTTTGGGCGATCAAGTCATTAATAAGAGTACACGTTTTAGATACCTTGTATCTATTGTTTAGAGTGATGGTGAAATTGATGGGGATATTATCAGCATAATTCAAGTTGGATGGTTGAAGTGGAGGAATGTATCAGGCTTATTGTGCGATAGAAAAGTCCCCCTTAAACTTAAGGAAAAATTTTATAAGATGGTGGTGAGACATGCAATGCTTTATGGTGCCGAATGTTGGCCATCAAAAGAGAAGCATAATACTAAGTTAAGTATTGCAGAGATGAGGATGCTTAGGTAGATGAGTGGCTTGACCCTTAGAGATAGGATACGAAATGAGCATATACGTGAAAAGGTTGGAGTAGCTCCAGTGGAAGATAAGATTATAAAGAGTCGCCTTAGATGGTTTGTTCACATTAAACGGAGGCCTTCCGATGATCTGGTTAGGAAAGTTGAGGTAGTAGATTTGACTTATGTTAAGAAAGGTAGAGGTAGACCTAAAAAGATTTGGTTAGAAAATATTAGAAATGATCTTTCTTTATTAGATTTAAATGAGACTTTGACTTTTAACCGGACACAATGACAAAAAAGGATTCATGTAGCCGACCCCACGTAGTGGGACAAAGGCTTGATGTTGTTGTTGTTGTAAGTGACGTATGCATACTAAAATACATGCCATTCATGAGCAATGCTATTTAGGATTTTTTGAATTGATTTTTTATCTTTCATATACATGTTGGTACGTAGGTAATTATAGTTGATGAGCATCTATGCATGCAAATGAATGCTTGAAAGTAAATAGTGATAGACCGTTTCTTACTTCTTAGTCTCTTCATGCATTGTACAATGGCCAATCTACGCTCATCTAGAATGGAATTTGCAAAGGTATTTTTCCTTATTTTATGAAGTCCTCGTGCTTTTGCCTTTCAGGTTGTGGGAATGTTATACAAGTTATGCAAACTTTAAATATTGAAAGATTTTCACGGTATGGGTAGCATTTAAACCACTTGCGTTTGCCTCAATATTTCTCTGGCGCCCTGCCTGATGATTAGTTTAACATGCCTTCACAAATCACAATGTTATATGAAATTCATGATGATTCGGTGGAAATCACCACATTGTAAAATTTTCAAGCTGCATATTCTGAACTGTTCCTTGTGAGTGCCAAAATAGTATCCTGCTATAGAATCAGCAAAGTTTTTGATGTGTTACAATCTCTTTGCAACTTCTTCTAGTTGATTTTTAAATCTACGTCAAATAAATATAAAATATTCTTCTCTTGTTTAAAATCACCGTGCTTAATGAATTTAACCCTGTAGGATTTTAATGGTAGAGTGCATGGGTTGAAGGTTGAACCAGTTGATACCACTGGGGCTGGGGATGCTTTTGTTGCTGGATTATTGTCTCAATTAGCCACTGATGTTTCCTTGCTCAAGGTATGTTCGGTGATTCTAGCACTCCACTTAACAGTTATATTTGTTTCTTGCTTTTTATGGTACAAGCCTAGAAGTTGAGACATCCCCTGCATATCATTTTTAACAGATATATGGAAATTATGAGTGATTGATAATGTAGAGAATTATAGAACAAATAATGTGATTTTATGAGAACTAAGAAAGTGATTCTCCAATTGATGAAAAAATAGCTTGCACCTAAGATGGGTACCCTCGTACCACTGAGACTTAGGGGTTTTGTTTAGCTTCATTATTATTACTTTCAAACAAGCGAATAGGGCCCAGACCCTGCCATGAGTCCACAAATATGGTTCCAGGAGAGAAGATGGAGATGCCTGAAGATTTTAACACAACAAGGCTACCTTTCCTTATAACTTATAACAGTACAAAATATTGCAACTTCATATAATCTCTTTTAAATTTTGAAGCAAAACTTAAACCTACTGGTGGAAATGATGCCGAGGTTTAAAACTTTGGGGAAACTTTTAACTTGAATAATCCATGGAATTTGTTGTATTTTTATAATATTTTTTGTGAATCTCAAAGCTAATTGATGCAAGCACGTAGTTAGAACCTGACATACAAGACAATTTTATTGTGATCAAGCAAAATAACGCAAGAATGAGTATGATCAAAGGCAATCAAAGCAACTAAGTTTTGTGTAACTTTGTTGGCATATTACGAATCTAAGCCATGTGAATTTTTCGGTTTGGACGGGCTATTTTCTGTTACATTTCTTTGTTTTTTGAGTGAAAATTTTCATTTTCTGTTCAGTTTAACAAAATTCAGACAGAACCACTTGAAAAATGAATACGCCTCCATTGTAATTATACATGCATGATGATCATTTCATGCATTTAAATATATGCATACGTTTGAATGTTTGTAGTGCATGTGTGCATGTTTGGATTAAATTCAGTACAAATTGGTTCAGTTTCGGTTCCAAATTGTTATTGGGTCAGTGCAATTCTGAATATTTGATCATCATCATTATTCTTATCCCAATTATTTGGGCATAGCTTTATGAATCCTCCTTTTTTTGCTCTTGCTAAAAGTTTCAGGATGCATTAAACTCAGTTTGCACAAATCTTTTTTGCATTACTTTTATCCGTGTTGTATTTGGTATACACGGATAATCCTTCAATACTAAATTTATCTAACCAAATTATTAGTAAAATTTTACCCTTCGTTTTTTCATGTCCAAACCACGTTAGTCTTTTTGTCGCCATCTTATCTTCAATGTATGCTGCTTTCATCATCTCTCTAAATATTTTATAATCCTTTATTTCTAATTTTAACCATTTTCTAAATATTATTATTTTTTGTGATCCTCAACCTTTTACTACCCGATACTTGAGCTCATATAAGACTAAAAATTTTCATATGAGAATATGAATTGCAAATTTGCAACTAGTTTTATTGTTCAAGTTACCGGTGCTTCAAAACTCTTTTGTCATGTTATAAATATAACTTGAAAAATTTAATAATAATAGTCAACTTTTGAAGGACAACTTTACAGCTTTTATTTTGTTAATAATAATTGAGAGACCTTCATGTGTATCATGCACTATCACCACTTGTAATAACATGATTTTATTTTTATATATTTTGGAAATGAGAAAAGTGGAGGGTTGCGTTAGGTAGTCGACAGCCAGCGTAAAACTTGTCGAACTATAATGACACCATTAAAAGAGAAGCATAATTCTAAGTTAAGTGTGGCAGAGATGAGGATGCTCAGGTGGATGAGTGTCTTTACCCTTAGAGATAGGATACGAAATGAGCATATACGTGGAAAGGTTGGAGTAGCTCCTGTAGAAGATAAGATTAGAGAGAGTCACCTTAGATGGTTTGGTCACATAAAACGGCGGCCTTCCGATGACCCGGTTAGGAGAGTAGAGGTATTAGATTTGACTTATGTTAAGAAAGGTAGGGGTAGACCTAAAAAGACTTGGTTAGAAAATATTAGGAATGACCTTTCTTTATTAGATTTAAACGAGTACTTGACTTTTAATAGGACACAATGGAGAAAAAGGATTCATGTAGCCGACCCCACGTGTGGGATAAAGGCTTGATGTTATTGTTGTTGTTGTTGTTGTATATTTTGGAAATAGGGTTTCAGATTGTTTAAGATATTGAAAGCAACTTAATATCTTTGACTATAATATAGTAGCTCTCTATTGATAAATAAAAAAGATGAACAATAACAACAACAACAATAAACCTTTATCCCACTATATGAGATCGGCTACATGAATCATTTTTCTTCATTGTGTCCTATTAAGAGTCAAATTTTTATTTAAATTTAAAAATGTCATTTTTAATATTTTCTAACCATGCCTTTTAAGTCTCATTTTTAAAAATGTATTAGTTATTGCCTCTTACTACACGGTATGTAGTGCATGTGTTTGTTGCATGTCTTTTAATATTCATAAGAGATTGTCACATGTGTTTGTCAATTAATGATTGCTTGGTGCCAAGGAGATTATTTTCTTCACAACTCTCTTATTTTACTTGTGAGCATATATGATGGCTAACATATCATCATATCCATCACACACTTCTAATTGCATGCATCCAAATGGTTTGTTATTTATTGCTCATCATTCATATGTGATTTACACCGCATGTCATAAGTCCTTGTTTGTATTTTAGTTTTCACTCGTTATAGGTTTATGCATGAATTATGAAACACATTTGAAGCTTTCATTTGCTTGAAACTTCCTCCATCACGAGTCCCCTGCTGTCCAAATTGTAAATTCATATGATTCTTACTTGATTCAATCAAGTCCATGTCATTTATAGTTTGCTCAAGTCTGGCGAAGTTTCAATATAAGTCCTTTGTTCATTTGGGTTAGAGCCCAAAAGATTTATGCTATACTTAGTATTCCAATCAAGTTCAAGTATGAACTTATTTCATTTAGATTCAAGTATTTTGTTTAATCATTTTGTGTCCAAACATTCAACTAGCAAGCTCAAGTCCCAAATCAAAGTCCCTTATGATCTTGCAAAGTCCAAGTTCGAGTTCAAATGAGAGTTCAAGTTTGATTCAAGTTCGATGTCCACAAGTTTTGAGTTCAATGTCAAAGTTCATCTTGCAAATTCAAGTTCATATAGGTCGAGTCATTGTTGAAGTTCAAATGAGAGTCCAAGTTATGTGCTATTTGACTTCAATCAATTTCTTTTATATTATTCAAGTTCATTTTAAGTAGATTGAATCAAGTCCACAAGTCCCATTTTGTTCAAAGTCCTTGTCTGTATTTCAGACAAAAATTTGGCAGCCTCTCGGCGTCTCCCCCGTTAAGGGGAAAAAATCAAGAGGCTGCCTACCCGCCACGTCAACAAAGACGTGTACGGTTGGTGTTTGTGAGACACCGCGGCGGTATTTTTTATTTTTTTTCTCCCACCACGCTCAACAAAGGCGTGCATGGGGTTTTAAAAAGCATTTTTATTTGAAAAGCAATTTTTGATTTCTCCCCGCTCGGAGGTACTTATGAGTGGCTCCGCCTCGCCGTAGGTGCCGCACCGGGGTCCCATCCCACCACGCGCACCAATGGCGTGCTTGGGGCAGTTTTTCGGTCTGCCACGAACATTGAAGTGGGGTTTTGAGTTTAGAAAATTTCATACCTTCGCGGGGTTGTCGTGGTTGGCACGTGGATTGAGGGGTCTCTCCCCTTCCTCGTCGTTGGTGTCGCACGGTCCCATCCACCACGCACACCAAAGGCGTGACCTGGGCGGTTTTACCTGGTCTACACGAACAGTGAAGGAACAGAGTAGAGGAGCACCTTGCACATTTCTTTCTTTTTAAACAAAGTCTATAATTAAAATACATAATAATAATAATAAATTAGAATAATTATAATTAGATTTATAATATTATTAATTAATACATAACTTAATTAATAATAATCATAATTAAAGTACATTATCCATAATTAACACTGAATTAATCTATGACTTAGATTATAATTAAAAAATAATTAATTATAATTAAATTTCACTAATTATCATTGATAATAATTAAATTAATATTTTAAAAAATTCAAACAATAATTAATTGATTAATTAATGATTATAATTTATAATATTAATAATTACATTAGTAAAATAAAGCAAGTTAATCTAATATATACCTAATTAAAATTAATTTTGAATTAATTATTAATCATAATTAAATCTAATTAAACATAATTAATTTTAATTAATAGGTATTAATTATAATTAACTTAATTAATTGAAATTAAATTTAATTAATTACTACTAATTTATAATCAAAACTAATTAATTAAAAATAAATTAGTAATTATAATATATATAAAAAAAAAAGGAAAAGAAAAAAGCCCAAAGGGCTGCTCGGCAACGGGATTTGGCCGAAAGAAGCACGTGAAAGGTAGATGTTACCGTCACAGCCAGTGAGCTCTCCGTGGTTGCTTCCGATCGAAAATGTCGTAACTTCTTATCCGACTGGAAGGGTAGCCGTGGAAGGAGCGAAGTCGAAGGGCATGAAGGAGCCGGAGAAGGGCTCGGGTAGGTTGGCTTCTCCCCTCTCTCTCTGTCTCTCTCTCTCTCTCTCTCTCTGTGCCGAAGGATTGAGGACCAAGCGGTGGAGTTCGGTCGGATGTGGAGTCGGGAGGTCGGCGAGAGTTGGATCGGAAGTGGCGACGGGGTCGTGCGAGAGGCGAGTCGTGGGGAGCAGAGGATTCACGTCTGTGGGATTTGCGAATGGAAGAGGGAGGAGCTCGGGATCGTGTGGGAGGCAAGTGTGGAAGAAAAAAAACTGAGAGGAGGTTCCTTTGGCGTCGTATTTAACGACTCAACTGGGTGTGCGATCGAGAAGATCCCTGCAGGCTTGCGATAGGACTATTCGGCGCCGTTGCAGACTGCCGATAGGGTGTAAGCAGGATTTCTGCCAGGGATTCGGGATGGGCTTCACGCACAGGTAATGATTTTAGGCATTTTTTCTTCTTCTTTTTTTGTCTTAACCG